GGCGCGAAGGTGCTACTGGTCTCATCAGGTGAGCCCGGGGACCGCCCGCCCTGGCAGTGGGCTCCCCCGCACCTTGACAGACCAGCCACTGCATGGTATAGGGGGTTGGAAAGGGAACTTCAGGTCCGAACTGGAAGTGTAGGGGGAGGGGATGGCAACCCTTCCTCAAGACGCTAATGGTCATTAAAACAGCCCGTTGTGGAAGCTCTTTCAGGCACTGTGTTAAGCACCGTGCAGTACATAGTGTTGCTTTTAATCCTCACATAACACAGGGCTTACTATCGGGCTTTGTAGGTGAGACCACCGAGGACCGTGAAGCCTTAGGTCCCAGGTTGTAGAGCTGAGGAGAGGGGTTAACCAGAGCTGTCTATCTTCAGAGTCTAGGCTTTTAACCAAAACCGACAATATGGGCATTAAAATGCAGAGAGTCTTGAGTGTGAACTCTAGAGGATCCCGAATGTTCTCACCTCTGCTGTTTGATTGGCTACATGATCACGAGAAAGTCATTTTCCCTTCCTGTCCCATGGTGTCCTCCTCTAATAGAGGGTCTTCACGGCTGCTTCGGGCTCTCAAATGCTGTTAGCCTCTCTGGATTCTCACTGCAGAGAAGGTTACCCCACCTGCTCCCCAAGAAGACTTTGGGGATCTGATGCAGTGCCCTCGTCAGTCCCCATTACGTCTATAACCAAAGCGACCGTTGGTTCTGTAGTTCCCTCCTGCCACACTTCAACAAGACCTGAAATGGTAACTCCATGCCCCAATGGTGACCAGGCCAGGAAGAAACTGAGAGCCCATTCCCCACAGGACTGTTGGTTTTCCTTTCCTAGAAAGCTTGTCGCTGCAGTCAAGGGCTAGGAGTTGCTTCTCACTCTGTTGGTCAGGGGAGGACCAACCAGCTGTGAGCCGAAAAACATGAAGAAGTAGGGAGCCTGGACGCCTCACCTTTTTGGAATGCCTTTGCATGCCAACCCCTATGCCAGGTGCTTTTATTACCCTAAGAGATAACATATTATTACCTCCTGTGAGTTGAAAAACCTGAAGCTTAAAATTCCAGCCCAGGTCCATCCAACTTCAAAGACCACGAATTTCCCTGCATGGTGCTACCTTTCTCTGCATGGTTGTAGTCTTAGAGCTGGAACGGATTGAGCATCCTCTGCTCTTCGCCTACATTTCCTAACTGAGGAAAGGGAGGCAAGCTAGGCAGCTAGTGTAGTGTCACAGAAAGATGAGATGTCCATTGACTCACGGGAAACCAAGAAACTTACACATTATTTTGGATAAAATAATCCAAAAAATGAAGGCCTTGTATAAAAGTTTAAGATGCAGGGGGGACAATTTAAAGGCAGCCAACTTATATAAAGGGGATGATCCTTTCAAGAAAATCCCCAACAATTTCTAGTTGCCTGAGAAAAGAGACAATTTAATCTCTTAGTAACTGGAAGACTCTCTTAAACCTATTACTTTACCTTTTGGTTCCTAAGAAAGTATCGCAGTGATCTTTTTTTACCAATTCAGGAGGGATTTAAATACTACTTGCCTGCATAGTATCTCAGGCTTTGTGTGAGGGAGGTCAGGGACTGCAGAGATTAGGTCTGTAATCAAGTCTTGTAGCACAAACTTTTGAGGTTAGGTTTAGAAAAGCAGATGATATAAAAACCACCAGGTAGAGAGTCCCCACAAGGTACAAGCTAGTTGCCACAAAAGGACAGGGAGAAAATAAGATGAATTACTTCAAGGATGTTACAGTCCAGTAAAAGAACTAAGCCACATACCCAAATGTCTGTGAACGTGATACCCAGAAGAATGTGATAAGTATGCTGAAAGAACTACAGAGTTGGGCATTGGGGGGTGGATAGAGGCAGGGGATGAGCAGAGAGTGAAAATTCCTGGAGGCATTGACACTGAGCTGGGCAAGTGCAGTAGGGGAGAGGGGATTCCAGGCAAGAGGAGCCCCAGAGGCTGTTTTCATCAGGTTCATAATACAGATGCTTCATTAGAGTTTTGCTATGTAAGGACAACAATAGTGGTAGTTTTTAAAGGCTGTTTACTGAAGGGACTCTACTGTAAAGAAAATAAGGACTCAGGGAATTCAAAGAATGGCCAACGGCAGAGGCCTCACTTCCATGAAGGGGATTAATTTTCCAGTGCCAACTTTAATCAAGGATCAAGGCATAGAGATAATCTGATCTCCACTTCTCTCCTCTCTCTGAGTTGTACAAGGAAAAGCTTAGATGAGTTGCTTCACTGGACTTTGATTATCTAAAGGCTTAGAATTCTCTCATATATCTTTGAATAACGACCTAGCAATACCTAGCATATAGTAGTCATTCAATAAGTGTTTGTCAAATTAATGAGTTCCATTATTCTGGTTGGTTGCAATAGGCTTTCTTCTCTGAAGCATAAGAACCATTGGGTTAGGCAGGAGGACATGAAAAATGATGTAAAAAAGTTAAATATATCCTGATTTGAGAAAATCCATTTAGATCCAATCTCCCAGGCCCAGCCTCACCCTACCAGATTTGCTTACCTCCCAGTTCACCTCTGGCAGTTGGCTGTAGGAGAGAGGTGCTCTCCTGGAGTCTCATTGCCAGAGAGAGTCTCATGAGCATAGGATGGGCTGGGACCATAGTAGGGAGGGTCTGTGCATAGGATAGTGGAGGACAAAAACAGAGACATCAAATAATAATGTACTCAAGGGCTGAGATCTCAAGCAGCCCAAGGTCTGAACAGAGAGCTAGCTTAAAGACATTCTCTAAAATTTTTCTTCTTACCCTGCTCATAACTGAAGGTTGCAAGACAGGTGGTTGTACATCTCCATCAAAATAAACTAGCACTTTGCTAGCATATTCGGGAAGGCCAGCAGTTCTTTTTCCTTAGAAACAAGAAGGGTAGAAGCAAAACAACTTTAAATCAGACGTTAATGTTATTGAATCTGAAGAAGGATAGAATTCAGATTATTCTGCACATTGAGTGTAAGTGGCCAGTATTCTAAAAAGACCTTCCTACAGCCTCTTGAGAAAAATAGGGAAGTAGATAGCTAGTAGAAAGGTGACATGGCTGCTTGTGGATATCAACTGATAACAATTATGTAAGTCCTGGTATGACTGAGTAACTTCATGACAAAGAATTATGCTTGATTCTGGGACTATTTAGAAAGTGAGAGTTCGCTTAAGTAAGAACTTTAAAATAATATTAAGAAGATATATAACAACACAAAGGTAATATGAATATGTATTCCCCTGTTAAATATTTACTTGTTGCTGGTGAGACTTAACCTTGGTTAACATCTTTCTGACCTCAGGGCAACTTGTTTTGTGGGGGGAGGGGAAGAGGTGAATGCACGCCGCTATCTGAAGGTGTTCTAACTCGTACCTTGTCGATGTACAGACCAGACAATGGGTTCTTAAATGTGATAATTCCAAACTGCCTATGCTAAAAATGCAAAATCACAGTTACCAATGGCATTTGAAAGGCTGTTTTCAGACTGTCTCCAAGGGCTGTCAAGAACCAGTTTGTGTTTCAGGTGCCTTTTTGAATGAAGAAAAGGTAAAGCCTTCAATCCTGACTTGCCCATCTACCAACCATTTCACAATCATCCTAGAACTTTGATCAAAACACATTTCCTTTCATTGCCTCCTTTTCAGGTCCCACTTTATTGATAAGCATTTCTGGGGTGTTTGATTTAACTCTGTCAGATACCCATTCAATGAGGCAATGGAGTAGCAGAACAAGCCTCTAGATTAAATGCCTTTCCTAGCAGAAAGCTGCAGAGTTAGCCAGTAGCATCTTACCAGCTCAGTGGTGAAGATTGGTTCAGCTCGCCACCTGCCCTCTCTCCCCACTTTCTAAGAATGGGCCCAGGTATTCATAAATTTCTTCTTCTTTTATTAAAAAAAAAAAAAAAGCAGAGAAACTTCATATGTTATCTTGATTTCTTTTTTTTTTTTAACAAGATAGATTTTAAGGAAGGGAGGAGAAATGTGGTAATCACTCAATTTTCCATCACTCCAGTATGCACTGCTTTCTCTGAGGTTCTATTTCAATCCATTGCTTAAAACCAGACCATTGAGGAATCAACAGGTCTGCTCTACACCACTGAGATAACTTTCTGTGAATACTTTTTCACACCCAAGCTTTTACTAAAGCTCAAGGCTATGCTTTTCAAAGAACATGAACAAGAGATTGTCAGTAGTACTCTTCAAAGGCATGCTTCGTTTAACAAGTACTGAGCAGAAGGTCAAATAGGCAGCATCTTCTAAAAAGTAAAGCCGTCTTTCAAAACTTTAACCTGAATGGCTGATATAAGGAGACAGGAATCCTATAAACCCAGTATATTTCTGTTCATTTTGTATCTGTCTTTTCATACATAGACTCACTGAGCTTCTGTCCCCATTTGTAGAAATTGGGTTACTGTATCTTTACCACAGGGTTCTTGTGAAAATTATGACATAAATTGTGTAAAGCTACTCTACAAATTGGTCTATACAAATGAAAAATGTAAGGGCTTTGCTATCAGTAAGGATGCAATGTATAGTGGATGCTGTGATAGACTACCCAAATCCCCTCTCAGGACTGAGATGCTCATTCCTTATCTGTTGGGAGCATTGGCAGCTAAAGTTCTCAGCTGAGACCACTTCCAGGATTTGCCCTTGCTTAAAAAGAGCCACTGTGCCCAAGGTTAAGCACTACCCTACCCTCCTCCCCCTCCCCCCCCCACGCCTCCTGCATCCAGTGACTGGTTCATGGGCAGGGGTGAAAGTATAGCCCACTTTCCTTAGTTTGGAACAATCCTGAAGGGCCATTCCAGGCCCAGAGTCCCCATAGGATCAGAGGATCAGTTGAGCGAGTCCCCTATGTGACTGCATCACTGTTCAACTTTCCCTCTATCCAGTCCGCTTCTCTTACAGCCTCACAGATGTCATTCCCAAGAACATTCCTGCATGTAAATCTCAAAACCCAGAGTTCCCAGCAACTCAACCTGTGCCAAGTAGAATTATTTGAGCTTTTGTATCCAAGTGGTTGATTGCCACTTTTAAGTAAGCAGACTTTATGGTAAGAGTTAACACACACACACGCCCTACATAAAAAATCTGTGAAGGGGAAAACATGTATGTCCAAATGTAGTCATAAAAAGCTTAAGGAAAGACACTAAATAACAAAGAGATAGTTAATAACTGATATTCACTTCCAGAATTTCCTTTCAAATTTCAGTTTTATAGCAGCATCTCTAGGGGAAGAAAGGCTGCTACAATTGGACATGTTAGGTGTGTCCAATATGGTTGGTGAGTCACTGGACCCTCAGGTCAATGCCCAAATGCTAATTGTACACCAGCAGCCCAGAGGACATGTAGGGAAATTGTGTTGGGCAAGGTCAGTGGCCTTCCCTACAGCTGAGATGCCTTCTCCGAACAGTATTACAAACTAAATGTTTGGTAGGGTAGGAAGATGAATGTAGTAGAAGATATATGACACCGAATTGCTTGAACTGTAATCAAGCATGACACCTGCTTAATTACATTTTCTTTTTCCTTTTTTAAAAAATGGAATGTAAATTTCATGCTGAAAAATTTATCATGGTCTTCCACGCAGTCCATTTGCCTGACTTACATCAGGGACTTGGGCCCTGCCCCCATCCCAGCCTCTTCTTCCAACCTTCTTCCCTCCTGTTCTACACTCCAGTCAGCTTTAGCCTCTTAGTTACTTTGGTACTATGTTGTGTGCCCCCCAGCCTTTACATAAGCTGTTCCCTCTGCTAGAAACAGGCACAGCCAATCTCAGTTGATCTTCAACTTGTTGCCAATTCCTGTTTATCTTTCAGGTCTCCATTTAGATGATCCTGCCTCTGGGCTGTCTTTGTGTTCCTCCCCAAACATCATAACCCCTATTGTGACACCTAGGACACCTTATTTTAATGGATGATTTCCTCCCCCATTAGGCTCTATAGAAACAGGGACAGTATCAGTTTTGTTCACTGTTATATCCAGTGCTTAGTACCATGCCTGGTACATAGGGAGCACCCTTTAGATAGATATTGAATAAATGTTGGGAAAGAGGGAGGGAGAGAAGAAAGACTAATCCAGGTAACTTATAACACAGTATTTAAGTATATAGCCTCAGAGGAGGGAGGGAGGGAAGGGAAAGAGGGAGGAGATTTCTTAATTCTTGAAGTAGCAATTGTTGTTGTCATTTTTAATTTATTGGTCTGGGCCCTTGTATGCAAGGCATATCTGTATTATAATAATTATTTCATTGTGCATTATATTTTATTAGAGGTTTATCAACTCATAGTATTGTAAGATCTGAATCCTTTAAAATCAACAGCTTTAGGGGCGCCTGGGTGGCTCCGTTGGTTAAGTGTCTGACTTCAGCTCAGGTCATGATCTCGCGGTTTGTGAGTTGGAGCCCCACATTGGGCTCTGTGCTGACAGCTCGGAGCTTGAAGCCTGCTTCTGACTCTGTGTCTCCCCATCTCTTGGCCCCTCCCCTGCTCGTTCTCTGTCTCTCTCTGTCTCTCAATAATAAGTAAATGTTAAAAAAATTTTTTTTAAATCAACAACTTTAGTTTATTCCTCTGTCTCTTCCACACAAACACAATCCTTTGTGCACATTCTTTGAATTACAAGCACTTGTTGAGCACTCACTACTGTTGACTATGTGAAGAGGATTAAGTTATGATCCTTAATCTCAAAGTTTTCACTAATAGAGGAGAAAAAGAACGAGCAAGTTGTACTATGTACTAACTACTCTGCCAGAAGTATATGCAGGCCCCTGTGGGAGCACCTCACTTTGTAGAGGGAGGGAAGGCAACAGAGAGAAGTGTCACCAAGGGTGAGTCTTGAAGGGTGAGCTGGAGTTTTCCAGGTGACCTGGATGTAGGAGGGCACTCAAAGCAGGTAAAACCATTTGAACAAAGGCCATGAGATGTGAGGATATGGGTACATTCCGTTCACATAGATCAGTGTAATTAAAGGAAAGGGGACAAGAGATGGTACTAAGAGATGACATCAGAAAAGTCCCCAGGGGTTAGACTGTGAATGAGCTCGGGACCTCACATGTTGCGTAAGGAGAGTGGACTCACCACAAAGGATGAGCAGCCATTGAAAGATTCTGAACAGGGCAGTAACAAGAAGCCATAGTGTAGCTGATCAGTTGGAAGCAAGGAAACATTAGAGATAAGGAGATTGATCAGGAGGCTAATGGGATGATCAAAGTAGGAAATAATGAGGATCTGGACCAAGGCAGTGGCAAGGAATGGGGTGTTTTTATAACAGTCATATTTTTGGTTAATATTTTGAAGTGCTGAAGGAACCTGTTAAAATAAAAGAGTAGAAAAGGAGAACGGAAGTTCAAGGGGCCAAAAGGGGGAGAAGCTGATCTGATGGAGGTTAAAAAAATATTTGAGGCAAATAGTTTATTGAAGAATGGTGGCCACGGGTGCCTGGGTGGCTTAGTCAGTTGAGCATCTGACTCTTGATTTCGGCTCAAGTCATGATCTCATGGTCCTAAGATTGAGCATGCATCAGGCTCTGTGCTAGTGTGCAACCTGCTTGAGATTCTCTTTCTCTTTCTCTCTCTGCCACTGTCCAACTTGAGCGCTCACGTGCGCACACTTTCTCTCTCTCTCTCTCTTTCTAAAAATAAAAATAAATAATAATAAATAATAATAAAAGAATGATAGCCAATAGAAACTCCAGGAGAAAACTCAGGAAGTATGATTATAGTGTGTTACTTCTGCAGTGAATAATATTTACATAGTTATAATCTTGTTGATCCTGATTATTGGTGTTCAGCTTCTAGAACCAACCCATAAACAAAGCTGGGAAGATGGAATTACAGCCTCAGAATAGATGTACATACTATTAACCTAGACAACATAAAGTGGAGATAGTAATTGTTGGGAGTGGACAAGGGTAAAATAAGGGTGGGGATCAAAATTGGTAGGTCCCAAGGTAGCAGGAAAAGCACATTGTTTGGTGACAGACAAGTGACTGTTACAAGACACAGGTTTAAAAAAAATGAAAAGTGATTGTGCCTCTAGGCAGCAGGTTTAGTTGTTAAGAGGGATGGGGTAAGGGACTGTTGATCTTTATTATAGACTCTTTTGTACTCTTTGATTGATTTTTACCATGTGCATGAGTCCTCTGGTTAAAATGTTTTGAAATTTTTTTTTTAATTTTTTTTTCAACGTTTATTTATTTTTGGGACAGAGAGAGACAGAGCATGAATGGGGGAGGAGCAGAGAGAGAGGGAGACACAGAATTGGAAACAGGCTCCAGGCTCTGAGCCATCAGCCCAGAGCCTGATGCGGGGCTCGAACTCACGGACCGCGAGATCGTGACCTGGCTGAAGTCGGACGCTTAACCGACTGCGCCACCCAGGCGCCCCTGAAATTTTTTTTAATGCATCTGTCCAGATGATATTTTTTGTTTTGATGGAGACATCATATATAAACATCTGAAAAACAAAGTATATAGGATGCATTAGGTATAGCCTACCCAAGGTAATTCCTTCCGGTATTGGGTCACCTTCCTATTAAGTATATTCACCTCAGCTATCACAAGTTCAAGATAAGTAAACTTAAAGGTCATCTCATCTTGTGATTTAAGGGCATAAATTTAACATAAATTGAGTAGCAAACATGAAGGTTTTTTTTGGCATTGACCTATAGTAAAAAATATATTTGTCTGTGGCCCAGTACCCAGACACCCACATAACTGAAACAAATTTTTAAAAAACTGATACTTCCCTCTTACTCTGTGTGATACACTCTGAAAATTTATATTTCCTTCTATTTTAATTTTTTTTTAATTTTTT